ATGGATCAGACAGACAGACAGACAAGACAGATAGACAGACAGACAACATAGATGGATGTGAGACTGACTTGCCTGAAAAGATAGACTTCTCAGATATCAGGACAATATTTTTCATAGAGATTTGCATATTAATAGAAAGTATATAAACAAATATCTTTGTAAACAGTCCAGAGTCATTGACAGTGAATTGGGTGGCCATATATATTTTCTTAAATATATAAATAATGGAGCCAAAAGTGAAAGGTTCTCCCCTCTCCCATTCTTACTGATACCCCACTTTCTACCATATTTTTATGAGATCTATTATTTTATTTTCTTTCTTTGTCTGTCTTTTTCTTTCTGTTCTGTCAGATTAAAATGAAGTGGTTTTACTGTAGATTCAGATGGATTATTAGCAGAAGGGCCCCTTGTCTCCCACCCTTGGTTAAATGTTTGACCTCCAGGACAGATACTGGGTTATATCCCACTGCTTAGTTTACAGATAGCTTTTCTTTCTTGACAAAGCATTTTATGGTACCAATCTTCCTCTTCATTTCTACCACCATGAGATATTATCTAGTGAAGATTGTAAGGGATGTTCTCTTAATTGAGATATACATGTTTACTACTTTCCTTCTTTCCACACAGTTCATTGTTTCTGGATGTCTCTCAATTGGTGCTGAGAAGAGTCCTACGGAATGTGCAGTGAGTCTGTCTGCCTCATATTGTTTTCTTTACTATGATCTGCAATTTAATGCTTTAAATACTAAAAGATCTCTGAGAAACAACTACATTTGCATCCATGAGGGGAAGGGAGCAAAGGCGTGGCAACTTCATCCCACAAATGCTACAGCTTACTTCTGCTGGATATGGGGATACAAGTACACAAGTGTGGCATTTGTATGAGGATCTCATGGCATGCATGTTATTCTTTTGAAATCATCAGGGTTGCTGCAAATATTGTTGATTGCCTCCCAGAAGCTAGTATCATTGCTTTGAAAAGATTTGGAAGCTACTAAATGCATGTGAACCTCTTAGAGGAGAATATTCGGGGTGGTGAGGCGGGGCTGGAGGTGTCATTAGAATACATAGTCATTGTTCATTTGTCCTATTAAAAGCCCACTACATTTCTATAAGAGATTTCTTTTTCCATTACTAGAGGATTTTAACTGTCTTTAGTACAATGCTTCATATAACACCAGGTATTAGAATCAAAAGCATTGTTCCCAAAAGTAACTTGCTCTGCCCAGGGCATTAAATTGTATTTTAGATTTTGCCTTCAGCTGGGTGCTCCATCACTGGAGGCTTTTAATAATAGGTTGGACAGCCATTTGTATGAAATGTTATAGGGTCCCTGTGTGAGCAGAGTGTTGGACTAGAACAGGGGTCGCCAACCTTTTGGACCTCAGGGACCACCAAACTCATAATTTTAAATCCTGCGGACCAGAGACCCTGGGAAAATCCCAAAAAAAGTCTGCAGAGAAATTTCCCACCCCGTTTTCCTACCAATCAATCATTCTTTATTTGGGATCGCAGGATACCGTCTCCATCTCCATTCTCAGGGGGAGAGAGAGAGAGAGACTTTTGGCTTCATGCAAGGAAAGCAGCAGAAGCAGCAAAATTCTTTCTTTCTCTGCCCCAAACTCTGCCAGAAATGAGTCTTTGTGAGACTTGTCACGCTGGTGCAGCCTCTTGGAATAGGAGGCCTTGCAGAGTCCCAAAGACTCATTTCTGGTGGAGTTTGGGGGAGAGAAAGAAAGACTTTTGCTGCTTTCCTTGTGTGCAGCCAAAAGCAGAAGAAGAAAGAAGAGGAAAGAAGCAAATTCCCCCCCTCCACCCTTTCTCCCCTCCCCTCACTACCTCATGTTGTTCACAATGCAAGTGACACAAGCCTTGTGTTCCCGTGGGCCATGTGGGTGGTGCAGCCTTGTGTTCCTGCACAGTCTGGATTAATTGCTTTGGGAGTGACATTTTTCTGTGGACCACCAAAATTTTCTTTGAAGATGCTAGAAGATCTTTAAGTCACTAGATGAGCTTCTTCCTCAGAGCTATAGTCCCAACCCATTTAGATTGGGTAAGGTTGTCCTAAATTCTCAATATAGTAAAAATTGTTTTTGCTGTGATGACCTAACATTCAATGTTTGTGCCTTTTAGGTAAAAGGCTCACAAGTCATGAATATCATCAGTGCCATTTTTGCGTTACTTGGAATATCGTCTTTTATAGTAGACCTGAGCATAAATGGGCCATTTCGTTCAGATGATAACTACAAGTATTCACTAGTGATGGTAAGTGTCAATGGTTCAGACATAGTGTAGTAGTATCTGACACTAGCAAAGATAGTACTACTCAATTGGGCACTCAATCATTTATATTCAGCACACCTGAAACCCAGATGAAGATACTTTCTGCAGGGCTTCTCTTCTCCCCCAATTACTTTTGCCTTCTTTCCCCCAATCACCTTTGCCCCCTTTTAAGCAGCTCAGCTGTCCCTGGACTGCTGCTGCTCATCACTATTTTCTAAGAATAGCCTATAGGCCCATTTGAGATACAGAAACATTTTTAAAAATGAAGATGTTGCTGTAAGTCCACTGTATTATAGCAACTTCTATGATTTTAAAATTAAATGGACCTAGAAGTACAAATGGACCTAGGTAGGACAAAACCAATCCAATCCTACAGGAGATGTCTGCAAGAGTACTGGGGCTCCAAGGCATGAAGTGGGACCCTGGGAACAGAACAAAACAATTACATGGACCAAGGCAGCCCCCAAGAGAAGTAAATGGATAGGTCCCATTTTCTAATCAGCTTGTATCATTGTTTCCATTGGCGAAAAGACAGGCAATAGGATCGCCATTACGCTGTTGACATTCACCATTGTAGAATTCTGCATTGCATCGGCAACTGCATATTTTTGGTGCCGGGCAACACGTTCTGACTCCAATGAGGTGAGATTTAATACCTAAATTATAATTGCTGCTACATCTGTGAATTAGAGTTAGGTTCTTGTTCTTGTTTCTGATTAAAGTGTGTCAGTCATTGTGTGAGAGGTTTTGATGAAAAAAAAAAAGGCATATTTTGGATGGACAGATGAATGTGAACTAAACAGAATTAATCTGAGAGGGAATGAGGTCAGAAAATGAATTTCTTTTTTAATGATCCAATCAATTGAGTTTTGATGTTTGGAGGGGGGGAGAAGAATCAATTCCTCAAATGAACATTGGAAAAGGGAGACAAGTCTAATATGGTTTGTTTTCTAGGCTATATTGATTGACCCAAACACCGTCAGGACAGATAATGAAGTCCCGTCTGTAGAATCTTCAGTACATTGTCCACCAAGCTCTGATGATGTAAATTATTATTTTAAAGTTGAGGCCGTGTAGAAGACTAGGCTGGAGGAATTTGTATGAAGAAGTCACATCAGCTGCATTTGGGGGGGGGGCATAAAAGTTAGCCTTTTCCTGCATGACAGAGGTCCCTCATTTTCGTCAGTATTCTAGCTGACAGGTAAAGGGTCTGTCTCTCTACTTCCTCCTGTACTGTCTCCATTTAAGCCTGGAATAACAGACATGTGACTTGATATTTTTTGCCTCGGAGTAAAAGGTAATGCTTCATTTTGCATGGGCTGTGTATGGAAATAACCATATGTGACACATGGATTGCTAGGTGTAAAAGTGAGGTTCGAGGACAATCATGATACCATACTGGAAATAGTCACAAAAAGGTTGGTGACCCAGACTGAGAATATGGAACTGAAGCCAACAGATGCCCAGTGTGGACATTAATGCATCTTTTCAGCTCTGGCTGGCTCTGTTGTTGACTCGGTAGCCATTGAAACAGAAGCCAGTTTATGATGTTAATTTCTACTGGCCAAAGTCCTGTCTTGCAGCTGGTTAATAAAGACTCTGTACCATTCTTAGGTGTCCTGGCAAATGTCCGGTATATGCCACTGTCTGGGCCTCAGTCTCTGTAACTGATTCCCCCTCATGTTTTCTAATGGAGCTGGAAATCAGAATACTGTAAAAAACAGCATCTGCAGATTAATTTGAGCTAAACTGACTGGTTTTATATGAAGCATATATGCAACTTTGGATGCTCGTTATACTGTTTTCCATTTATAATTGCATTTAGTACATCCTATTAAGATATTCATAGAACAGCCTTGGGAAATGTTCCATCCTTTATTCTCTGCGAGGACCATTTGTTTATGATAGTCTCACTTCCAGCTTTGTTGAGCCAAAATTGCTGTTTCAGTTTCTTTTCACTGTCCCTGGCTTGGTTGTACCAAATAAGAAATCAGAGGAGAAAGCGCTCATTCCCCAGAACATTAAATCTTAGTTCAACTTTATGTATTTCAAAGTTGGACATGCAGTTTAATACCTCCATGTCTTGTAAAATAAAAAAATGGCACAAATTCTAGAGGATATCAGAAAATTTTGGGCAGCATTTTGTAGTAATCATTTCTAATGATGGACCACTAACAGTTTTTAGTACCACTAAAGGGCAGCTGTAACCCTGATGCAGGGCCAGAAACACTAGAAGAAACATGGGACTACATGTCTGGTCCTACACTGAGAATCAGACTAAATTGGTTCTGAATTTAGCCTACCATTCTCCAAATGGTTTCCTCCCACTGTTTAGGACTATAACTCTAACTGAACCTTGTAGAGCTTGTAGTTCAGGGAGGATATAAGGACAGGCAAAATTAAGAAAGTTGGAAAGGCTGGCTTAGAAGAAATGGCTTTTCACTTAAAAGCGTCTGCGGCAAGAAGGAAAGCATTTAGACTGAATCCTGACCCTTAGTCAAATATACAGTTTCAATGGTTGTAACTGAATGCAGGACTGCTTCCCAATCCATCAGGAAATTCTCTTGGTCACACAGTACTGAAATGAGTGAGAGGTTCATAAAACATGTAATGTTTATGAGCATGGATCATGGAATTTGAAAAGGAGAATTTTTGATAGACCTGGTCCTGGCCTCTAAAGATGCTGGGTTGGGATATTTTCCCCTTTCTTTGTTTCTCGCTGCATATTATTGTATTTTGTCCTATTTTGAGAGTTTGGAATTCTCTGGATTGAGATTGGTTTCCTTGGCTTCTAAGCATCTTCACTAATGTTTTTCAAAGCATGTTTTAAGAGAAATTTCTACAATTTTAATGCCTATCTATGAAACAGGGATACCTAACTTGGGTGACTTCACTGAAGTCTGGTTCTTGTAGCTGTTTATTTGATATTAGACCAGGTTAAGTTTTAGATTTCTTCAGTAATTCTCTATTTTTAAATTGGACCTTGTTTTTCATGAATGTTTTTAAAAACTGCAATAAAACATGTATTTGAGACAATATGTCTGTCCTTTGGCTTTTCTCTGATGCTTAACAAAGAATCCACCTTCATAATGTTGAATGGCCTTAGCTTCTCCAGATGCAAATGTTGGAATATGTTGTGGGAATACGATTTTGTGCAACAACTACAGTAATATTCAGCCAGTAGATGGCAGTGTTAACAAGTTTGGATCTATGGTACTATATACTCTACAGGTATATTCTTTTTGTTCTAAGTAGAGTTTCCTGTTTCCTGTTACAGCTCAACATTTAAGCAGTAAAGCACATGGTGACTGTACACTCTGATCTGTGATGCTATATATAAACCGAATTTCTATTAGAAAATGAACTAGGAGAGCCCTGTTACTTTCTTATGTAAGTGGTCTGACAGACAGATGTTAATTGAATATAAGAGGAAAATACATTTGTTAGTTCATAAATTTCTCAGGAATCAGAGAATCAGATTGGTGTAGTGATTAAATCAAGCTAGAAACTCCAACCCTGAGAGTTCTGGTCCCATCTTAGGCAGGACTATAGGTAATCCTTGACTTATGACCACAACTGAGGCCAAAATTTCTGTTTTAAGCAAAACAGTTGTTAAGCAATTTTTGCCCCATTTTACAACCTTTCTTGCCATAATTGTTAAGTGAACCATTACAGTTGTTAAATTAGTAACATGGTTGTTAAGTGAACCTGGCTTCCCCATTAACCATACTTGTCAGAAGGTCACAAAAGGTCATCACATGACCCTGGGACACTGCAACTGCCATAAATGGATACCAGTTACCTAATTTTGATCACACAACTGTGGGGATGTTACAACAATTGTAAGTGTGAAAAACGTCATTTTTTCAGTGCCATTGTAACCTTGAACAGTCACTAAATGAACGATTGTTAGTCAGGGACTTCTTGTAGTCACTTTCTGGTCACTTACTCTCAGCGTAGGAAAGAGGCAAGGGCAAAGTACTTCTGAAAAAAGCATTCCCCCCCAAAAGCATGGATTTGTCCAGATAGTCTCTGAGTATCAGGCTTGATTGAATGGAAGAAAAAAAAATCTTAAAATTCATATACATACATAACTTCATGTCTACATATCAAGAAATGATGGAACGCTAAAATGAAGTAAAATCCAGTTGAATAAACACCTGATTTGCCTGTCTTCTTCTTTTTTTATCTGTGGACTTACTGGTTTTTGGAGAAGTTCTGGGAAATGAAGCATCAGAAGTGACACATCAAGCATTGCTAGGGAAAGATGAAGAATTCACCCAATCACACATGTGTATATTAAGGCTGACACAGTAGTGAAAAGAGTAGCAAAGTTTAATTATTCCTCCTTCCCATATGATATTGGCAGAAATGTGTCAAGTGAACTTTTTTTTAAGGTAACCTGGTCTGAGGGACAGGAAGAACAACTGAAGGGTTGCTGTGAAAAATATTCCAGGCATCTGATGGATTCATTAAGAAGTGCACTCTGGATGAACAATTCTATTATCTAAGAGGATTTTAAGCCTGTGAATGTCAAGTAATTGCACACAATTCTCTGGGATGTCAGAGCTGCTTTCTGTGTTTTAGTTCAACGTCCCTCCTGCTCAGTTTTCCCAAGAGGTGACAAATGCCTGGTTTCGAGTGATGTGTTTGAATGAGAGGGGTCATTCTGTTTACCTTCAAGAAGATATTAGTATGACCCCTCCTCAAGAAGCCACTGATGGTCCTAGTCACATTGGATATTTTTTTTTATCAGTTCTCAATCTTTTCTTTTTTGAGAAAGGACCCTTTCCAGTCAGGCTTTAGGGTTGGATTCAACAGTAAGATAGCATTGATCGTGCTTGTAGATAATCTTTGCTGGGTTTGGGATTGGAATGATATGATCGTCCTGATCTTAGCTGCATTTGATACTCTCTCAGTATGCACCTGCCATCATAGTATAGCAATAGAAATAGCATTTAAGAAAGATGGAAGGATGGGTCAACCTTAAGCCTGGTGAGATTCAAACTGCCAAATTGCAGGCAGCCAGCAGTCAGCAGAAGTAGCCTGCAGTACTGTATTCTAACTACTGCACCACTGTTGAGGTAATTTCCCATTAGGAGAATGAGTGCACACAGGGAGACATAGTGAGTGTGGTGAGGAATAACACACAACCAGCACACAGATACACTGTATAGTAAAATGTAGGTTTTTACTTCCAGTAAGCACTTAAGCAAAGTCCAACAAGCAGTCCAAGTCATACACGGTTAAAGCAGTCAGTTTTTCAGTCCAGGGATAATCCAAATATCAAAGTCCAGTATCATATACAGGTCAGTAACAGACTTACAGCAATCCAAGAAGAACAATGATCAGCAAGAGTAAATAGGGAAAAATTCAGGAATCAAAAACAGCGAACATCAGAACATCGACCAACTAGCAACTATCAACAACAGGACTAAACAACCCAGGTTTCTGACTCCATCTTATGGCCGTTTGAGGAACCACACCCAATTACAATTTTAGCATTCCCTTAAAGAGACAGTATTAAATGTCTATCCTGGTTTATATATTTCCAACCCAACTGTTAGGTGACTATCAATTCCTAACAACAACCACCACTCTTATCCTTCTGGACTGACTTTGAGGGTTGGGAATAGGGGATGCTTTTTTAAAAATAATAGTTCTCCTCCCTTGGGATCAGTTTCATTCAATATCGGTAAATGGGGAGAGATCCACCCCAAGGCCCTTTCTTTTGTGGAATCCCAAAAGTCTCCCCACTCCTATTTAACATCTAAGTCAGTGGTTCTCAACCTTTTCTTCACCATGGACACCCCCCCCCTTTAAATATCTTTTTCTGGGCACGGACCGTGGCCAAGGATCACCAAGACTTAACTCAAGATTTAAATCATAATACTTCTTCAAGCTTTCACAAACCCCTTGTAATGACATTGTACCTCCACCCCACAAGAGTTTGTGGACCACAGGTTGAGAACCAATGAACTACATGATAAGTGAAGTCATCCATTTTGAGTAAGGTCAAGTATCATCAGTAGACAAATGATATCCAGCTTTACATCATGTCTCCAGATTGGATGGTGACATTTTGCACTGGAAATTCTGTCACAGTCCTGCAGACTATTAGTGTTTGAATGGAGAAGACCAAGCTTAAGCTCAATGCTGCCAGATCCAATGGCTTTGGTTTCAAGAAAGTGTCACTCATAGTGATTTGTCATCTTTAATTCTCAGCAGAATAGCACTTCCCCAAGAAGAACTGATATATAATGTAAGATCCTCTTGGACTCCTGGCTCCTGCTCAATGAGTAGGAGGCATTTATGGTCAGGGCAGCTTTTACAGAGATCTATTTTGTGTTTCAGTTACAACTTTTTATAGAAAGGGAGGTGCTTCTCACAGACACTCTTGCCTTAGTCACCTTCCTTTTATGGTTATTAAGTATAAGAGTTTTACATTGGCTATCCTTGAAAGC